TTACAAACTTGATATTTTTTAATAATAAATGATAAACTTAAAAAAGAATATTTTCATCTCGATATACTATATATATAACAATTTTACATTACATTTGTGGTTTCTAAACATAAGTTTTGTTAGAAACATACAGATACGTTTTTAATTTTTCAAATTAAAAATTATTTCAATTAAATTTCAATTAAAAATTCAATTATTTCAATCGTTCAATTACTTACTCGCGGTTGATACAGACGCATTATTTCGAAATTTTTCGTCACGTTCGCGTTAGTTCCAAAATCGATAGTTGTATAAACACCTGATATAGAACCACAATTCAGCATATTCTTATTTGATCCATCCGTCGTATATAAAAGCGCCTTTGTACCAATTTTCCGTTTCATTATATCTCTCAGACGATGTAAATATTCTTTATCGCACGAATAACTTCCATACTCATTTTCCACCTGAAACATTATCGAAATTTGATTATTAGCATAATATTAACAAACAATTTATAATATTTCATTCTCATCACAGTTGAATTCACAGTTGATCGATTTCAAATATGTAATAATATATTTTTTCCATATGAATATATTTTATTTCGCAAAGTGTTTTAATTTTCTAATATTGTTAAATATAAATGGAATTAAATTTTTAAAAAGAAGAAATTTTAAAAAGAAGAAAGATAAATTTATATTTTTTTTTTTTTTTTAGACAGATAATTGTGAAAACATTATCGATATTAGAAAAAAAAAATAAAAAAAAAAAAAAAAAAAAAATTTTTATTTTTTTTTTTTTTTTAGACAGATAATTGTGAAAACATTATCGATATTAGAAATAAAAAATAAAAAAAAAAAAAAGAAAAATATTCCATTATTGACTACCTGAACCATTATTATAGGTCCTCCATTTCCTCTGAGATAGGGAATGATTCTTTTAAATACTTCGTTTAAATATGTTTCCACATAATTCATATATCCTAGAAAATGAAAGAAACATTACGATGAAAAATATAAAAATAAATTTCCAAAGGAGTAAATATGTATTGAAATTGGAATAAAAAAAATCGGAATTAAAAATTCTTACGTGGATCATTTGTACGTAAATTTATATCTGGTACTCGTGTCAATAACCAGTAAGGAAGACCACCCTAAATGAATATATATCATAAATAAGAATAATACGAAGCAGAAATCATTTTTAAAAATCGATACATCGTTGATAAAAATTATTTCTTATTTAATTATTTAAATATTATTTAATTATTTAATTATTTAATTATAAATATTATTAATATACAATAATGTGTATATATTGTATATTCAAATTATATCGTATACAAATTCTTGATCTAAATAAGATATAAGTAATTTTAATGAAATACTTGCAAAATCTCGTTCCGCGCAAATATAAGGGCCTGGTCTCAAAAGAACGAATAAATCTTCTTCTTGAGCAATATTTAAAAATTCTACTAAATCCGCATTACCCGTCC